AAGACGTGTGTGTCTGAGATGACCTTCTGAGGCTGGGCAAACAGTAAATGTATAGAGGCATCTCCTAAGTATGGACTCATTTATTTTACAAATTTTTTTTTTTTTTTTGAGGAAGACTAGCCCTGAGCTAACTGCTGCCAATCCTCCTCTTTTTGCTGAGGAAGACTGGCCCTGAGCTAACATCCGTGCCCATCTTCCTCTATTTCATACGTGGGACGCCTACCACAGCATGGCCTGCCAAGCAGTGCCATGTCCTCACCCAGGATCCGAACCGGTGAACCCTGGGCCACCAAAGTGGAAAGTGCGAACTTAACCACTCTGCCACCAGGCCGGCCCTTATTTTTATTTTTTATTTGAGTTCATAATAGTTTACACATTGTGAAACTTCAGTTGTACATTATTTCTTGTCTGTCACCACATAACTGCTCCCCTTCACCCCCGGTGCCCAGCCCCCACCCCCTTCCCCTGGTAACCACTGAACTGTTTTCTTTGTTCATGTGTTTGTTTATATTCCACATATGAGTGAAATAATCTGGTGTGATTCTTTCTCAGTCTGGCTTATTTCCTTTAGCATAATCCCCTCCAGGTCCATCCATGTTGTTGCAAATGGGATGATTGTCTTTTTATATGGCTGAGTAGTATTCCATTGTAGATAGACACATCTTTCTTATCCAGTCATCGGTCAATGAGCACTTGGATTGTTTGCATGTCTTGGCTTTTGTGAACAGTGCTGCAATGAACATAGGGGAACATGTGTTACTTTAGATTGTTGATTTCAAGTTGTTTGGGCAGATACCCAGTAGTGGGATACCAGGGTCATATGGTAGCTCTATTTTTAGTTTTTTGAGCAATCTCCATACTGTTTTCCATAGCGGCTGCACCAGTTTGCATTCCCACCAGCAGTGTATGAGGGTTCCCTTCTCTCCACACCCTCTCCAACATTTATTTTTAGTGATTATAGCCATTCTAACAGGCATAAGGTGGTATCTTAGTATAGTTTTGATTTGCATTTCCCTGATGATTAGTGATGTTGAACATCTTTTCATGTGTTTATTGGCCATCTGTATATCTTCTTTGGAAAAATGTCTGTTCATATCCTCTGCCCATTTTTTGATCAGGCTGTTTGTTTTTTTGTTGTTCAGTTGTGTGAGTTCCTTATATATTATGGAGATTAACCCCTTGTTGGATATATGATTTACAAATATTTTCTCCCAATTGGTAGGTTGTCTTATTGTTTTGGTCCTAGTTTCTTTTGCTTTGCAGAAGCTCTTTAGTCTGATGAACTCCCACTTGTTTATTTTTTCTTTTGTTTCCCTTGTCTGAGAAGACATGGTATTCGAAAATATCCTTTTAAGTTCGACGTCAAAGAGTGTACTACCTATATTATCTTCCAGGAGTTTTATGGTTTCAGGACTTATCTTCAAGTCTTTGATCCATTTTGAGTTTATTTTTGTGTATGGCATGCGATAATGGTCTATTTTCATTCTTTTGCATGTGGCTGTCCACTTTTCCCAACACCATTTATTGAAGAAGCTATCTTTTCTCCATTGTATGTTCTTGGTACCTTTGTCAAAGATTAGCTGTCTGTATACGTGTGGTTTTATTTCTGGGCTTTCAATTCTGTTCCACTGATCTGGTGTCTGTTTTTGTACCAGTACCATGCTGTTTTGATCACTATGGCTTTTTTAGCACATTTTGAAGTCAGGGATTGTGATGCCTCCAGCTTTGTTCTTTTTTCTCAGGATTTCTTTAAAAAAGAACTAATCATATGAGTACCCAAATTATGATGGCATCTCAAAGAACATCCATGGGTTGCTATTTCCTCTGACTGTCACTTAGACTATAAAAATGTACATTGAGAGAACATGGTCTGAATGAGGGTTGTACTCTAATGATTTCCTTCACAAATGATCAGTCAGGAATTCTCTGCTGACTTGTCTGTGGAATTTTGGTTTCTCAGTCTTAAAACAGAGACAAAAGAATCTACTTGTCTCGTGAATATAATGAAAAAATTCATCAGCTCATTTAGGCATCTTGAAAGCTAAAAGTAATTATTAACCAATGATAATGGTCTAAAAACACCTTATAACATTAAAAGGTTGAAAAAGTAAGAAGCCCTTTACAACCTTGATTAGGAGTTTAATGTAAAAACCAAGTGGAAATAAAATCAAGAGTCAAGTTATGTTTCTCCCCACCATGGTTTTTCACTACATGCAAAATGAGAGCCACTAGAATTATTTTTCAGAAAACTTGCCACCAGGGGGCAGTTTGCTTGTAATTAAAATAAGATTCTAATGTTTTAAAATGTGAGAATCTGATAACTACCAGTGTATAGAAAATAAACTTAGAATGAGTTTATAAACCTACTTCAAGGTTATTTGTATTTTAATGTCAAAGCATTAAAAGATATTGTTATTGAGCATATTAGTACTATATAATTATGTATAGTTAATTATAGCTGCCACAAAACCATTTTATAGCAAGTATAATGAACATAAAAACCCAAAGAGAGTTGTAATAAGCCCTATAGGTCCTTTGACTTTACCACAATATTAAAAGTCAAAGAAAAATAATCCTCCGGTAGGTTCTAATTATTCAGGTAAATGTTTAATTACTCACTTTGAAAAAATACTGTATTCCCAGCAATATATCCATGTAACTAAAACTATAAAAGAGCTCAAATTAAAATATTTTTCTAAAAACTGTTCCGATATTTTTGTAGTAAATGTTCTTCTGCTTTTACTTTGAAATTGAGGATTGTCCTCAGGAAAGAGAAATATAAAGTTCGTATAAAAAAAATTCAAAATAAGCCCCATAGTACAATAAGCCTGAAAAGGAAGTTTAGCCTTTTAGATAAAGGGGTAAAAGGGTAATTTCTAAACACTTCAAAAGATGAACTATATGCTTTGGACCATGATTTCAGATCAGAGAAACCTGTGTATACAACTGTATTTTTGTGAGTTAATGGTGAAAAAAAGATATCCATTTCATTCTAGATCACTGCAGGTTTCATTTCTGTCTTGAGGGTTTTTGGTTTGTTACATCAACGAAATGGCCTATTACTCTTGAACTCTAGGTAATGTTTGTAGAGCTCCAAATTTAAATAATTTAATGAAAAAATACTACAAATTACCAGGTGTTTTTTTTTAAAGGATATAAATTTAAAAATAAAATTGAGAATAAAGTGCCCTAAATCGCAATTTATTTGGAAATATTTACACTTTTCTTTTTTTGGAGGAAGATTAGCCCTGAGCTAACATCTGCCACCAATCCTCCTCTTTTTGTTGAGGAAGGCTGGCCCTGAGCTAACATCCGTGCCCATCTTCCTCTACTTTATATGTGAGACACCTGCCACAGCATGGCTTGCCAAGCGGTGCCAAGTCCGCACCTGGTACCTGAACTAGCAAACCCCAGGCAGCCTAAACGGAACGTGTGAACTTAACCGCTGCGCCACCGGGCTGGCCCCGGAAATATTTACACTTTTAAAGGCAATTTAATGAGAACGATTCTAATACTAAATCCCTCTTAATTTAATGGCATAGCCCCAAATTGCTTACCTCCTTTTTGGTTAACAGCATTCCCTTCCTTTGAAGAACTGATTTGCCTCCACTGTTTCTGGTAAGACTGCAAAAGTCCCATGCTCCTATGTTTTCAAGGAAAAACCACTGGATACACTATCTCCTTTAGGAGGAAGAGAGCAGAGTGGGAAGGCAGTATCTCCATTCCTATCACTTTGCCAAGAGCGTGGTAGTCTCTGTGTCTTTCTTTGTGGGCAATATAGGCAGAGAAGTCGTCCTTTTACTGAAAAATACTAGGATTTTTCCCTCCCTTCATATTATGCTTATTGTTATAAAATCATGTAAGTTTTTTTCGTATCAAGTCATTCTTCTTAGTCAATCACTTCTACTTATCCAGTCTAAAAGACCTATGTTATTTATTTTTAAATTTTGATATTAAAAAGAATCTTTACCTTTTCGAGATATATAATGAAAACTTACTAGTGATATAAAATAATAGAAGATGCAGGGTTGGTCATAGTGGAGGATTGTGAGGCCTGGGTGGTGATAACACAGAGGTTCATTATACCATCCTATTTTAATGTATGTTCAAAACTCACCATAATAAAATACATTTAAAAAATAATTTTGTTGACAAATCACCTGGTTCAGACTGATAACTCTCAAGGATCTCAATTGGCCACTTCTTTGAGGAGTCTCTCCATTCAATCAGCCTTGAGGAATGAGATGACCTTTCCCTTCCTAAAGCACAGAATTATTTTACAAACAGCACCATATATCCCCATGTGCTAAAGCAAAGAGCATTAGGAATCAACAATGTGTATGTCCCTATAACCTGACACCATTAAATATTTAGGAAATCAATATTCCTAATACTCTTTTTATTTATGGGGCTACCATACACTTTTCCCCTGGTGGGGAAACTCATTTACTAATTCAATATTTATTCAACTATCTTTTATACAACTGATTTCCATTATGCCCCTTTTATCATAATCTCTAAGTGGACAAGTATTTCTTTAACTTGCTTGTACAGTGTTTTGCTTTGTACAAGTTGTTAAAATTGCCACAGAAAATATCTGCCAGTTAACTCTAAAAACCTAGAAGGGAATACATTCCTCTATGTCATCCTGTGTTGATTTATGACTTCAGATATGTTGTATATTGTGAGTCATTTTAGGGTTATAAATAACTTATCCACTAGGCTGTAAATTTCACTAAACAAAAAAGTACAGAAACAAGCAAACAGCTGAGAGACCCACTATAATTTTTCTTTTTTCTTCCCATTTCACCTTAGGGCACATTTTTCCCCCCAATTTCATATTAGACCACAAAATTACACCATTCCTATTATTTGTAAAGAGCTGAGATCAAAAGAAGTGTTCAAATTCATCTGATTCTAACAGTAAGGCAATGAAGCACAATGGAAAGGTAAATTCTAACTGTAAATGCTTTTTTGCAACATAATATTTTCAAATCTGCTTAAGCCAGAGAGATTTTTATTACACAATTTGATTTTTACATCAATAAAATCTTAGATATAACAATACAGATGAAAGAACAACAATTTAATTTGTATTGAAATAAATAATTAGATATACAAAGCACATACAGTGAAAAGGGGTCACAATAAATTACAAGTGGAGACATTATTTTGCTCAATCACCAAAGAAAGCCCTTGACACTTCCAATTTCACACCATCAAATTTATCATTCTTGCTGATTTAAGCAGAACACAAAACAAATATGGATCCCAGGGCTTACTTTCACAGGTACCAGCATAGATAATTTACTATAGTGATCCAATTTGGAAATCAGTAGGGAGCAGTAAATCACTGCATAAAAGAAAGAGTGAATGAGGTCCTTTTTCCTTAGTGTCAGCAGGCTATGATTATTATGTTTATTAGATTTTCTTGAAAGGACTGAGTATTTTGTCAAATATTCAGGAGAAATATATTTCCCCTCTGAGCCCTACATTAGCATTTATGTACTTTGGTCTTGAATACAGGGGAATGATAAATTTTTCAACTTATTTTATAAATTTATACAGTCTGGATAGTATTGGCTGGTAACCCCAACTTGTACAATATTGAATATTAAAAATGGATTCAAGAGAAATTACTAAGAAATGCTGACCTACTGTATACACAAATTTTTTAGTTCAATATTACCCATTGTATACAGCACCAGAAGTAATGCATTTATAAATCAAGCAGTGTTGACTCTTTCTAATCTTTGCGACCCTTTTACATTTGTTCCAATATATACACTTCACAGATGTTACCTGCTCAAGATTTTGCCCATTTGGTCTTAACTTATACAAATATATATGTAAGCAAAAATTCATGTCAAAAGCAATTGTTCTATTTTAAAGTTACAAAAGAAAATGGTCAAAGTTTGGAATTAATCAGTGATGAACCAAGAAAAAAAGGTAAGTTTAAAAGTACTGAGCTTATCAAAAAAGTAGCTTCAGAGGGCTATGATGGAAAAAGTGAAATGATTCTTGAGCCTGCCTTTCTCCGGGAATATGAGCTAATTTTTCGATTCTAGCAAAGACATCCATCAATAATTTCTTCCTATCATTTTCTAAGAAAAAGAATCTGCTTTAGATTTTAAAAATACCGTACTTTCTCTCTTATCAAGTCAACTCAAATTCAATGCATGTCAGTTTTCCTATTTGCACTGCAAAAAAGACTACTCTAGGGTTAATCCCTCACACAGGAACAATGTGTTCCCTCTAAGAGCCACCTGAATACCACCTTAGAAAATAAACATGTCCTAGAACAATGATTACCAAACTTTTAGCAGCTTCTTTCTTATCCTTAATGCCAGATCCAGTAAGAACTTTCCACCCAGAACATTTTAAGAGGACTGCTCATTAAAACAAACTGTGGAAATAACTCCTGGATTTATAAACGGATACCTTTGGTATACCATCTATTGAGCTATACCATCATACAGCTCTCTAAAATTCTCCTAATCCTAGACAAAGTCCAATGAGGTGTTATGAGAAACTAGTTGTCTTTGCATTGAATTGGATTTACAACTTGAATTGGATTTACAAATCTAGGTACCATTCCTGATATGATATCCAAAGATTTCAATCTGCTTTTATTCTACTGTGAAAAGCCTAAATTTTAAGAGGCTGAACTGGCTCTATACCTTGTGTACCTACAAAATGACCATGAAAAAACTTTAAGTACCATTTTTCTACACAGTTGAACATGAAAGAGAAAGAATAATTTTATAATTGATGTATTTAGGTGATTTAGGCACTTAAATGAAATGAAAAAAAAACAGATTATGATTTGAATAATGCCACTCTCAACTGTGGCCAAAACTGTTTGCGTAGAAAGCAGATATTAACAGGGTACTTCTTCCAGCTTTTGAACATTTCAGTATTTAAAAAATCTACTCATAGTAAATGCTTACTAAATATCTGTTGAATATTGAATAATTACATATTAAAAAGGGTCATGGAATTCAGATCCTTAGTTTTATGGCTGACTCAGTACTTTTAGTGGCATTTAACCTTCCAACATGGTATGTGAAACAAGTGGGGGGCTACTTGAGGAAAGAGTGCCACCTACTGCTCTTAAACATAACTGTCTATGGTTACTCTCCCCCTTGAGGTTTTCATTTCACAGAATAAGTATCAAAGTAGTCTAAATGTGGTGAGAGCTTTGAGGCTAGCAGATCCTACGGGGATCTGAGCAGGAGTGGAGGGGGAGAGGCTTCAGAGTAACTATATTAATCACATAAATTCCTTAGCATTAGATAAGGAATTCCTCAATATTAATTTCATTCCCTCTGATATCAAACTTTCCAAAAACCTAAGTCTCAGTTCCTTTTGTCTTATTACATATACACTCATTTTCCTTTCCAGGATGACTAATATTCATGCCCTAAACTTAAAAACCTAATTTGATTTTTAGGAAGAAAGGAAGTTTTCCAATACCTTTACATTTCTTAGTTATACAACAGACCTCATAAATCTTTCCTAACTTCTAGTTTTAATATTAGCTTGCTTTGATTTTCCCTGTAAGGGAGGTTCCTAAATATCTAAATTTAAATTTTAAAAAAGTTAGCTTTCTTTCTTGCTTACTTCTAGGAAGATCTACCTTGATGAGTTTTATTCCAAGAAAATTTAAATACGAATTGCTATTTAAGAAATTTCTCTTTGAACTGATGTTAAATGGAGTTTAAATTCATGATATATTCATGATATATAAAACGTATATAAAAAAAGGAATATAGAATCCTTGTTAGAATTAAGTAGGTTTTGTATGCGGTTTCCACCTGTCAAAGAGGGTTTAATATCTAAAAGTGCTGGAGTGAGAAGAACGGCAGCACTATACCACTTCCTAAAGAATTATACGTTCTGGTTGTTAAATGAACTTTTTTTAAACCAGTAAGTAAAAAGTAGTTCAGCTCTGCAAATATAATTTCTCCTGCTGCATTCATTCTATATACTGCTGTTGTATTTCCTTAATTGCAATTTGATACGTGTACATGTTACACTATAATTTCAGACGCCAAATCAGCTGGTTATACAAATTCATATCGCAGAATTTCTCACTACAAGTTCATGCAAACAAAACATCTAGTAATGCTCAAATTTTAAAATTTACTTTTTCATGATCTTAGGAGTATTTTCTTTATAAATCAAGCCTTCCTTTAAAGAACAGTCAGACATGAGCATATCAGAAACATAACCCTGCTATGTGATAAAAAGCCTTGACTTTTAAAGCACAGGGTGTTCTAAATTATAATAATTAAATTAAAATTCTTCTTTGTTAAAACCAATATGAATTATTTCCTTTAGGAAAATCTTTCTGACCAACAGAAATTTTCAAAATAAAGAGGAAAAACTTAAAACAAAAGCATACTTGTGAGTCAGTAAAAGACAATCATGGTAAAAACAGAACACCCCAAAAAATTAATAAATGGAAAAACTGGTGAAATCTGAATAAGTTCTGTACCTTAGTTGACAGGATTGTTTCAGGGTTAATTTCTCAATTTTCATGAATGTTGTGTATTTATGTAGGATGTTAACATAAGGGGAAGTTTAGTAAAAGGTATACAGGACCTCTCTGTACTATTCTTGCAATTTTTCTATAAATCTAAAATTATCTCAAGATTAAAAACAATTGTAGAAAACAAAAGAAACTAGTAACTTAAAAATAAATGCCTTCAGCTGCCAAAATGTGACATAATTCAAGACTTAATTTTTTAAAACATTAGAAATCAATAATACACTGTTACTTAACATTATAGTCACTTTATTGCTCTAGAAAATTTAGTTCTTAAAACCATCAGATTACATATATAGAGATAATGAGGCTAGCCACACACATACACAGACACACACACAAAATCAACTGAATATCATGAGGCTGCTTCTCTAACTTAGTAGATAAATATTACAAAAATACAAAAATAGCTGATTACAGTTGAGCTATCAAGTAGATATCACATTTCTAGAGATTGCTAAGTTGAACAAAAAGAAAACTGACGTTACTGAGAAGTTACTAATAAATGTATTAGAGAAACTCCAAATTACATGCAGACACAAGAATATTGGTTACAAAAAGCATTATTACATTATTTTGGACTAAAATTTTTGCAATGTTTTAAACATTTCCAATCATGCAACAGTAATAAATATCAGACTGAATTTTATAAAGGAGTTAACGGAAGCTCAATGAACAAGATTTAACATATTATACAACTCAAATCAGTTGCATAATATATCCAATTCCCCTAAATTTATCTATGAAATTGAAATGTACACTTATTCCCCCGTAACTCCACCTCTGGCCCTATTCCCAATCAATTACCTTACCTATAAACGTTTTAATTTAACATTTTAAATCAGATTTAATGGGTAAGTATGTAATCTACAGGATAATCTTCATTATTATTTCAGAATAGACACCAAGTATGCTCAATCTGCAGTTACATTCCTTTCAAAAGGCATCTGAACTGCTGCAATTGTCTAGAAAAAGTGAAGCCTAAGAAACCGAGCAAACTGGCAGTCAAGAATCTGGTCTAGGTAGTTCTATAAACTGTAATAATACTAATAAAACCCATGTGTCCACATTTATAAAAGAAGGATTTCCTATTTGAGAAATGTTACCCACTGGGTCTCTGAAAGGAAAGCTGTATGACTACCGCTTTCTGACATAAAACAGTTAGGTGACCCCAAACACTTACTCAACTGGCTAACTTAAAGCTGAGGCTTTTAAAAAAATATTCAAAGCCACAGAAGTAATTAGGGAAATAAAATTTTGGAAGGTAATAGCATAAGATACATGCAGAATTCCTCTTATAATCGTACATCCAAAATAAATCTGTCCTAACAAAGCAACAAAAGATCAAATAACAATAAAATACAGTGGAAAATGCCTCTGTTAAAATCATCAACCAAAATTGCTGAATGGCAAAAGAATACTGCCTCAAAACATACTGAATTCACATATGTTAATATCACCATAATGAACTCATGCCAGATATAAATTCAGGTTACCAATTAGGTTGAAACAAATTTTAGAGCTATTTTTACAAGAGAAATAAATGTACTTCATGATAAAGGCACAGTATCATCTAAAAAAAAAAAATCTGATAGATTTATCACCAGACACAAACTTCCTTAATCCTTAACAACACAGCACAGTAAAATTTTCTTGGAAACTTTTTAAAAGGCTTGATTTAACATGCCAGGAAGATGATTATTTTTCCACTGAGATGCATTTATGTAGATTATGTAAATTGGATTGAGGTCAGTTTTACACCTGGAATTAACAAACCCTAGCGGAAGTACCAGCTGCTAATAATGCTTATTTATATTATATATAACTTAGCTGGATGTTAAACTACGCAACTGTTGGTGCCAGTCTGCTTATAAAGGCAATGCTCTGGAGACAAAGTCTTCTCACAAACAGTGGGCAAGCAGGTTTCATTATTATATGTTCAACAATAATCCTCAGTTCATTAAACAAGGTCCTGTAAGATAAAACAGTTTTCTTTCAGAAACACAAGGCAAAAGCAACATAATGCAAAACAAATGGTGATGATGGAATGTTCTACAGCCATTAAAGAATTTGAAGTAGTAAAAAGAAATAACCAGAATGCACAGGAATATACAAAATTCTCAAAATCAACACCTGTGTCTTTGAGGGGGCTGGCAGGGGAGGGGTCCGTTTAACAAAAGCATTTAATAAATGGCTTTCTCTGAGGGCTAGATTAGGGATGATTTCTATGTTCTTTATTGTAGAGTTACATCATTTTCACATTTAATTTAGGCAAATTCAACTAGTTCTAAAAAAGAGCAATAAAGTGAAAATTATATAATATGGGCAATCCCACCTACTATTTCCTTAAATGAACATACTTAGGGCTTTCCTCATCTGTAAAATAGAACTATGTACTTTAAGGAGTTGTAGTGAAGTTTAAACAAGACAACATAATATATACTCAATAAATTTACTTCCCAGTTGGATCACTCCATGATTTAACTGGCTCTTGTTTGCCTTCAGACTAAAGCCCAACTCCTTAACATCCAATGCTCTCCAGAATCTGGTCTCTGTTGAATTTTCTGCTTCATTTCTTGCCACTCTCTGCCATGACTGCTATGTTCCAGTTATGTTGCATGTTTGTGCCTAAAACAGGTTGTAGACTGACTTTGCCTTAACTGTGCTCATTTCCTACAAAGTACTCTATATTACATACTATACACATCACACATATATTGTACAGGCTAGCACACACAAAATTATGTACACTGTACTGTAATTTATAAATGATTTGAAGGAACATCAAGGGTAATTTTATTCACAATTTTCACCTTATATGCTGAGTCATCCTGCATAAAGACAAAACTCCTGTTCTACATTTCTGTATCCTCTGTATTATTTTTATGGTTAGGAAAAGTAATAAGCTACTGTTTTAAAAAAGAATGTAATAAACTCTCACACAAAGATAGGAAGGAAATTTAGAAAGATGCACATTTATCAAAAAACCTGACCTTCTTCTTGTAACTCCTATCTTTCTGACAGCCCCATTGCTCACAATTCTCCAGGCCAGAAACCTGGAGGTCGTCTTTATCTCATTCTTCTTCCCCAAGCCCTAAGTTCCTACCCTCCTGAATAGTTTTCAGATTTATCCCCTTTTTCCTAAAACACTGAATTAGTTCAAGCTCTGGACTACTCTAATAGTCTCCACACCGTCTACCTTTGCGTTCTCTAGGTGAGCTTGCAGTCCATCTTCTGGAATGGTATTTCTAAATCACATCTCATCACATTCTCAACCCCTCCACACTGAACTTCAATTAAGTTCCAGACCCTATCATAATCTGGTCCCTGTCTACCTTTCTGGGCACAGATCTTTATTACTTCCCTATATACTTTTTCAGCTCAAGCAACATCTAACTGTTGGTATGTCAGGCACTTTCAGGCACCCATGTGCCAGAACTCAAACTTCAAGAGATCTGGCTTTTACTACTACCTCCTCAGTCTCATCTGTCTCCCTCTGTTCCCTGTGCCTCCACAGCACCTTCATCACCATATTGACTTACACAGCTGTCTAATTCACTCAGCTCTAAGTCCCTAGAAAACAGGTATTTCAATCCTATATAACTTGTTAGCACCAACAAACAATCACTGTCCTCTAAATAAATGAGTCTAATGAATAAAGCTAGAAGGCATCTTGAAAATACTCTATTCAAACATCTGTAGGTTACAGATGACACCTAACGCCACATGGCTATTTCTCTTATTCCTAACTCTATCACTGGCATAATCCAGACCAAGTCACAGAGCTCCTTTGGAGCAACGCTGACATTTGAACTTTCACTGACGATGAAAATGTCTATCAGTGCTGTCCACTACAGTGGCCATCAGCCACACAAAGCTTTTGAGCACCTGAAATGTGGTTAGCGTGACTCAAGAATTTAGTATTACATTTTATGAATTTTAATTAATTGAAATTTAAATGGTCAAATGTGGCTAGTGGCTGCCATATTGGACAGCACAGCTCTGGACAATCTACACTAGACATCTACAAAAGACTGATACCACTAACTTGAGAATAAATATCATGATAGGCAAAAATGGTACAAACTGTTGATACAGAGTGTCTCAAAACCCTTAACAAAAAAAGTCTAGTGTAGAAAGTGTAGTTTTATAAACTGTTGGTATTTATAAGTGCAAATATTTTCCATTACCTTTACACTTTTTTTTAATTTAAAGATTGGCACCTGAGCTAACATCTGTTGCCAATCTTTTTTGTTTCTTTCTTTCTTCTCCCCAAAGTCCCCCAGTACATAGTTGTATATTCTAGTTGTAAGTCCTTCTAGTTCTGCTATGTGGGACGCCACCACACCATGGCCTGATGAGTGGTGCTGGGTCCATGCCCAGGATCTGAACTGGGAAAACCCTCGGCCACCAAAGTGGAGCACGTACACTCAACCACTCGGCCACGGGGCCAGCCCTTTTTCCACTGTTCTGATTAAAATGTGTGCTTATGGGAAAACTCTGAAGATGCTCAATAACACATATTTGTGTTATCTTGATCCACTGCTATTCTCTTCTTTTTTATTCCAGTGAACACGTCTAAATTTCTGTATGTGTTGATCTGATTTAAGGGTATATGGGAAAATGGGAGTGGAGAAGAAAAAGCATATTAAAAAAACAAAGAAAAACAAATCTGCTGATGAAAAATGGATGTCAGGGCAAGGGACCAGAAGATAATGTCTGAAATGAATACAAGGACAAGAAAGAAAAAGGGCAAAAACTGACAGAATCGAGTAAAACTGAAGGTCAACTTGAAACCAGAGATTCAAAAGACATTTCCTAGAGAGCATAAAAACCCCTCAAAGGAGAAGAATCAGAATCATAGAAAAAAGAAAATAAACTATTTATTAAGACCTTATTAAATCTAAGCACTTTTAAAACATTACTTCATTCGACCCACATAAGGAGGTTTTCTCCCTACCAATGAAGAAATTAAAATTTAAATAACTTGCCTAAAGTCACACACCTGGCAAACGATGGGTTGGCATTCAAATTCACTTCTTTTTACTTTGCTTGTGAAGATAAGACAGAGATCAAGCTAATACACTCACTGGCTTTATGGGTGAATTTCACTACATAATAAATTTATTTTAAACTTGAAAACAAAAACTATGTTAACATTAGTATCTGAGTAACATATTTAAGAAGCTATCAAAAACAGCTATTCGATTTGGTTTTACTCTAACTTTTGAGATCAGCATGCATAATTTACAGTTTAATTTAAGCCTCCATTCATGAACATTAAAGTAATTCACTAAAATATTTCTCTACTTCCTCATTTTTCCATTCCTAACTGTTCTGTCCAGGCTATCAGAAGAATATTATGATCACGTCAAAACCATTATTCTCATACATCTAAAAGATAAATTCTAAACTTCTTACTCTGAAACTCAAGAGGCTTTATGATATGGCTCGAATATGCCTTTTTCTTTTTTTTTTTAAAGATTTTATTTTTTCCTTTTTTCTCCCCAAAGCCCCCCAGTACATAGTTGTATATTCTTCGTTGTGGGTCCTTCTAGTTGTGGCATGTGGGATGCCGCCTCAGCGTGGTTTGATGAGCAGTGCCATGTCCGCGCCCAGGATTCGAACCAACGAAACACTGGGCCGCCTGCAGCGGAGCGCGCGAACTTAACCACTCAGCCACGGGGCCAGCCCCACGAATATACCTTTTTAATCTTAGCTCCAATCACTCACCATTCAGAATCTCCATTATAGTCAAACAGGTCTACTCAATGCCCCTTAAACATGGCTTATACCTTCTAGCCTCTGAACTCGTGCTCCTACTGTCTTCATATCTAAAATGCTTTTCCCTATTTTATCTATTCAAAGGCTTTAATTCTTCCAGAACAAATTAAAATCTCTATTTTGGGAAACTTTCCTGGGCTCTTCTATCTTCTGGCTCAGAAGACAGAAGATGACAGATGCTCTCTCCCTCCTGTGGACTACAGTACTCATATGATAAAGCAAACATATGACAGTTCTCATATACTGACTTGTTAATACTGTATCCTGAACTACTGTTTCCTTATTTTATCATCTGAAATATGTTTTTGTTTCTTCAACTAGGAAAGCTCCTTGAGAGTGGGACTTACGTCTTACACATCTTTAAATTCCTTAAGCTTTAGTACTATCTGAGAGGTGGTCGAGATAACTCCAGTCTCAGTTTCTGAAAAGACATACAATCACCTCCTCACCAATCCTAGAAGCCCTGGAACTTAAATTTATGAAAACATTGCTTGCTTCTAACTTCTAATACAAAAGCTAAGTAACTCTTAAAAGTTACAAACACTATATTTCACAATACCTTTAACAAATAAAACAGATTTAAATTAATCACCAGCTTACCGACAATATGGATTTCTTCGAGAGGAATATCGAAGAGTTAGAAATCTATAGTATATAAAAGGCTGGAGCAAACTTCCTTGACCACTGAAATAAACAAATAAAAGGAGAGTAAATATACATTATCAATTCACATGTGTACTCACAAAACTTAAAGGCAAGTTTATTGGAGAATATGTGTGTCTTCATTCACCAAAGAGTCATAGTAATATCTATGACATCTAAATCAAATTTATTCTTAAAAAGGAAATAAAAGAATGTATATGATTGGTAAAGAATAAAATGTATTGGTTAAATTTTTACAAACATGTATTCATGTATGTATTACTTTTTAAATTTTTAAAAGCTACTAAATGAGTCAGGAAATGTTATATAAATGCTTCCATAATTACCACTAATAATTGATAATCAAGTTTTAAAACTTTATAACATATTAAAATGAAAAGTGGTTCATTTTATACAAACTAATAAAATCACACAGGCTAACAAGTAAATTTACACAGCCTATTCTAATTATTTCTCTTGGTTAAAAAAATACCATTACAAAAAAAAAAAAAAAAACACCATTACAGGGGCCGGCCCCGTGGCTGAGTGGTTAAATTTGCACACTCCACTGCGGCAGCCCAGAGTTTCGCTGGTTTGGATCCTGGGCGCAAACATGGCACCGCTCATCAGGCCATGTTGAGGTGGTGGCCCACATGCCACAACTAGAAGGACCCACAACTAAGAATATACAACTATGTACCTGGGGGCTTTGGGGAGAAAAAGGAAAAAAAAAAAAAATCTAAAAAAAACAAAACAAAAAAAACACCATTACAATACCCCAAGAGTCATATATATATCTATGAAATCCTAAGTCTGGAATTCTTTGCTAGGAAGAACTATGTGGATTAATATATTTACTGAAATAACTACAAATGAAATGTGACAACAATCTAACATGGATAGTTAAGTAGCAGAACTAAGTAAATTATATTATGCTTATCTGATGGACTTAGTATGCAACTACTTAAAATCTTGATTATGAAAACTACAAAGCAACTTTGAAGAAAGTAGAATAAAAACTATATACAGTATTACAACTATATTTTAAAACTTTTTTAAAGGAAATACATTAAGATGCTAAATGTGGTTTGTTTTTTGGGTTAATTTTTTCGCCTTTTCTTCTAAATTGTGTGATACTACTTTCATCATAAAAATAATTTACATGATTACAAACTTATCACTAAAATACATGTTACATCCATTTTTCCCAATAAATCACATGACAAACCTTTAAATCTTTAAATTGAAAAATACACATACTACAGAAAATATAGAAAGAAAAGAATACTCAATGAGAAACAAATCTTCCACCAAGCTAGCTCCTTCCTCAAAGTTATAGCACAGTCTCTAATATATCCTTCCAGAAATTTATACACACAATGTATAAATGACTAACACTAATACAGTGCTCACTTTATAATTACTGAATCTGTTGAACAACTGTAGGAGGGAAGTGGTCTCATCATTCCCATTTTAAAGATGAAGGAACTGAGGCAGAAAGGAATACGTCCATGCCCTTAAACTTATACATACATACCTCAACATATAAATGGGGAATACCCTACATGGTCCCTTACATGGTCCCTTTTTTTTTTACAAACTTTTAAACTTACTATATCTTGGAGATCATCCTCTACCACAACACATAAATTTACCTCATTCTTTTTACAATTTCAAGTATTCCACCTTATACATGTACTATTACGTAACAAGTTCTCTACTAATGAATAAAGCTACAAGGATCATCCTTTAATCTGTCTTTGCACACGTGTGTGTGCATGCATATGTAACATAAACTCAGACTTCATGTTCATTTTTAAATACAGAGCTTTAAGCATTATTGCTAAAAATATAACTTAATATTAAGACTTCTAACATTAGACTGTGCTTCTACCATGAAGGGTAGCATGTAAGGAATAATGAACTAAAATTATTTTTAATTTTATAGTTTGTGTTATATTCAAGAGACATACTTAAAGCATTAATAGCTTTTCCTATTAGGGATCGAATAAAACTTCCTAACTTTATTTTAATTTTTTAGAATAACAATGTGATTTCTCTATTTAAATATTTCTGGTAAATTCTCCTTTCCTTTACAATAATCTTAAAAATTAGGGGCTGGCCTCATGGCTGAGTGGTTAAGTTCACGTGCTCTGCTTCGGTGGCCCAGGGTTTTGCTGCTTCGGATCCTGGGCATGGACATGGCACCACTCATCAGGCCACGCTGAGGCGGTGTCCCACATGCCACTAGAAGGACCTACAACTAGAATATACAACTATGTACTGGGGAACTTTGGGGAGAAGGAAAAACGAAAAAAAAAATTAAAAAATTAAAAAATTAAAATCAGTTTGCACATAGTCAGTGTTTAAATAAAAGATTAAGTAGCACAACTGAGTTAATGTAGTCAAAACTTGGTGATCCAACCAAAAATTCACTCCAGTTCCAAAAATGAGGCTTTTGTTTTAAGTGTGCATGGCATCTCAGCATTCCACTATAAATCTTATATTGATTTACGAGGAAAATTAATTATTTTGCTTATTAAACAGAAGCTGGAGGTTTCAAATGCAGACATCAATGATCTCTACACAAAGAACTAGCTTTGGTATCTTCATTTTTTTTTTAATTTTTTTTTTTTTTTGATTAAGATTAGCCCTGAGCTAACATCTGCTGCCAATCCTCCTCTTTGCTGGGGAAGACCGGCCCTGAGTTAACATCTGTGCCCATCTTCCTCTACTTTATATGTGGGACGCCTACCATAGCATGGCTTGACAAGTGGAGCGTAGGCCCACACCCAGGATCTGAACCGGCAAACCCCGGGCCGCTGAAGCAGAACCTGCAAACTTAACCTCTGCACCACCGGGCTGACCCCTGCTACCTACATTTTAATTTTCACCCAGTTACATGAAACAAATCACAGAACCTGGCACGACCCAAGAAAACAGAAAAGTGAATAAGAGGGCAAAAAGTTGCCTTTACTAATTAAATGTTTAAGTGTCTGATCACTATCACAAAAGAGGGACATTAACTTTTAGGGTGAAAGTTTTAGAGTGAATAATGGACAAATAAGGCAGTATCAAATCCTATGTTCAATGTTCATGGAACGTTGGAAGGATTTCAGGGAATTACTTATTTCAACTACCACTAGTTTTTTAAATGTGGAAAATCAAGGCTCAGAAGGCTAAGTTAATGGTCAAATCAACTAGAATCCAGGTCTGCTAACACCCAGTAAGTCTTCCCATTGTATCATTCCAGAACTTTTATATTACCTAGTTTGCAACCCCACAACTTAAGCGACATCTGGTGATCCTGGAGTTTTCAGAGGAAAACATTACTTAAAAGAATGGAACAGATGTATTTATGAGGAAATCTATAAAACTCTGTTACTAGCTTGAAGAGAGACGGAAGGAAAGGAGTAACTGTTAGGCATATATATAAAAAAAAAAGGTTCATAGCCAAATGATACTTTAGCTTTTTTCTTGTTTCTTTTTTTTTTCTTGAGGAAGATTAGCCCTGAGCTAACTGCTGCCAATCTCCCTCTTTTTGCTGAGGAGGACTGGCCCTGCGGTAACATCCAGACCCATCTTCCTCTACTTTATATGTGGGATGCCTACCACAGCATGGCTTGCCAAGCGGTGCCATGTCCACACCTGGGATCCGAACCAGTGAATCCAGGGCCGCCGAAGCGGAACGTGTGCACTTAAGTGCTGCACCTCCGGGTCGGCCCTGATATTTTAGCTTTTATCTGTAATGTCCTATTACTTGTAAAACTAAAAATTAAAAAAGCAATAATCGGGATTGAAATGTAGTTTTAAAACCTAAATGCAGACTATTGATGGAGGGGTCAATACTTTGCTATTCTAATGTTCTAATTTTTAAAAGGAAGGCTTTCCTTATTCATACATTACTCCGATGCAAACAAATACAGAGGTGATAGTAGGCAGCTATAAATACCAGACCTAATTTTTCTCTAGTGTAAGAAAAATCATCTCAATAATGGCAGAACGGTCTAAAATAGACCTCCTAAGATTCTTTCAAAGGTAGTAATTCTGAAATTAATTTTCAGAATGTTAAGTGATAATTCACAAGGAACAATAAGTAAGACAAGTTCCTAGGTTTACTATAATCTCAGATTTTCTACTATAAAGTGAAAAGATGATTGCTAAGATCCATCTAGCTAAGTGTATCAGTATCTACTTCAACAGATTTAAGGAGGATAAAATTTGAGCTAATATATTTACTATGTTCACGAAAGTCATCTGCCTCCCAAAACAAATATATTTTCGTTCTTACCTAAAAAGCATAAAAACTGTAGCAGGCATCAAGAATATTTCGTTACAAGCAATGAATTTCAAAATATTCTGTTGATTAGCACTTAATTTATCCAAGACAGATCTCAGCAGAGGTAAACTATTTGAACCCTTTGCCTAAAACATAAGAGAACAAACATTAGAAATAACAAAGCATTTTTGATCTCTCAGTTATTTTCTTTCTTTAGATAAACAGCATATCCAACAGGCAATACAACCGAAAGACAATTATTTGGAGATGGTGACATAAAAGTTTACAAAAGTCAGTGTATTTTCCTGCTTTATTGTATTTTGTTAGTTGAAGAGTTAAAAGTCATTTTCATGCTTTTTCTTAAGAAAGATTAGATCATTTCACAAAAAATCGTCATTTCTCTCCAACCACCATAAAATCTGACTACCCAGTAATACAGTTAAAGTATCTGTGACTCCTTAGCTAACGAAAGGTAGAAATTATGGAATCCAATTACTACTGTGAAAAAAAGGGCAACACAAGGCAAAAATAATGGATATTTTAATTCAAATTTCAGTGCATCTGGAGCCAATCTGCCCGGCACACTGAAGCCAGGCTTAATGTTTCAACCTGGGAATAAGAAAAAATTTTAGGAATTTAGCAGATTGAACATCAGTGTAAAACAAACTCAGTACACTCTACTTACTTGTTATGTTAGAAGTAAGCATTGACAGAACAAGACATCTCTGACAACCTATCAAATCTAAAAGATAGGACTTTTTAAAAAAATAAAGAGATCTATTTCAAACTTCAGAAATTCCTCTGGCAACTGAGGAGTAATCTGAAACACAATCCTTTATCTATAAAATGTACCATTTTGTGAAACTTAAACAATAAAAAATTCCAAACTTAAACCTTGCAAATCACTAAATAATTTAGAACAAGTTTGGAAGGAACAGAGGAACTTTTTGTGACAAATGCCCAATGTCTTAGAACTCAAATTCATGTCAACTATCTGTAATCCAGGAGTTAAAAAAAAGCATAGTTTTACTTACATCAAGGACCTTTTTTGTATACGTAGCAGCATGAAGCAAAGAGAACAACAAGACTGGGAAAATGCTCACTGAAGGAAACAATTAAGGAAAACATTTAAAATTCATCAAACACTTTGCAAAACAGGCTATGTATTACGTCCAACTACATAATTCTGAAATGGCATCTGCTAAAATGAGTTCAGCAATGGCTTTTGTTTTACTGACATACTTGATAACCAAAGGAAGTTTTTAAAAAAATCTATAAGGAAGAACATTACTTCATTTTCTAAAGCTCACAGTTCTTAGATGAAGAAAATAGTGAAAAAAGTTTATTTCTATTGGATAAAATATTGTAAACGTTTGCTAAATTAAATTGAAATCTAGGCCACCTCAAAGTGTTCAATACAGCTTTTAACCCCACAACAGTCACTCTGGCCAGAATAACTTAGCTTTTAAATACAAGGATAGTCTTTTGTGCACTGCTTTCACTATCTCAACTCCTTAGGAAAGAGTCTGGGGTAATGGTTTAAAGAGCAGTTCCCAAATTCTACTCAACTAAAGATCTTATTATTTCTTTCCTACAAGGACCGCACTATTTTGAGGTACTGCACCTATTAAGCTTTTACAGTTAATGTGTTCTCAACTTGTACAAATAAAAAAAGAGAGTGTATATTTGGGTTTGTATCTACTCAACTGAGAGTCTCATCAGACTAATTACAGACATAAGCAAAGAATCCTTATATTAGATTGCAACTGTCTGGCTCTACGTCATGAATAAATATACAATTTTCATTCAGCTTTTTGAAAAACAGAAATTGTTCAAAAGATCCTATTCACTCCAATTTCTGCCAGATTGATAAGAACAGTAACAAAAAATTTGTCAAGTATTTCCATAAAATGATATGAACCGTTAGTCAATCACAAATGGCAAAAATAGTTGTCCTAAAAATATTAAGAGGTTCTAATAAGCAAATTTTTATATTTTATATTTTTCTACACTAACTGAAAGCCTGGTGTGACAGGAAATGATGACTGCTGTGACACAATACGAGTATCACATTCATTATAACCATAACTCAATTAGGACCCAAAAGTTCCGAATTTCCACCTGGCGAGCAAGACACTGACCTTATACCTAAGTGTTAGAAGAATCCTCTTTTACATTTTTTAATGAATCATAGATCCCTTTGAAACTGATGAAAGCTACAACCCTCTCCTAAGGCCACTGTAAACTCTGTTGCTTCTTAAATAATTCAATCTAAACTGTGACATACATCCTAACTTGAAGCCTAATTCAATAAAGAGGCAACGTCAGGTAGTGAAAACAGAACCTCGAATTGAGAGTCAAGATACATGGGTTCCAGTCACGGCTCTGACACTAACTTCATTTCCATAGGCCAAGTTTCATATTCTGTCAAATGAATACGTAGCAATCAAAGCGAGAGATTTCTAACGTATCTTTTACCTCTAACATTCTATAACTCCCAAATCCTTGATAAGAGATTCATAGTCTTAGCTTTCAATGTCATTTTTAGACCACTTAGAAAATATAAGGGGTGAAAAGTCTACAATTTAAACCCTGTCATTGTTAGAGCAAGGACAATATATCACCTTTGTAAGAACAAAGATCAGAATCTAACTTTGTAATATGACTTTGGGCTCACCTTTATTTATTAACATAATACTCAACTACTTTAGATTACTGTTTCTTAACTATTATCAGTTTCTGTTACTCCCACTGTTCACTACTCCTCCCCACCACTCTAAAAATTTAAGGAACATGAAATCTTAATCTTTGACTCCCCAGAGAGGGGCTATGAAATAACCAATTGCATAGAAAAGGCAGAGAGGTTGTCTTCACTGGTCATGAGTCTCATTTGGCACTATCTCAGGATTCACTCAACAAAACTTACTGACCACCTGCTCTGTGACACACAATGTCCCAGAGGTCAGTATTGGTGCATTCAATTTGCTCCATATTAATTATCTGGAAAACAGTTTCTACTTCTCTCTCCAAAGAAATTTTAAGCTACTAAAGGGCAGAACCAAGAACCTTTAAATAACTTCTCATTATATCTTAGAAAGGCAAGAATTTTAATTATTAGTGATTGTAAAGGACCTCAATAAATGTGATAGACAAAAGCAGATCAATCCAAGGGTTGGCCCTGTGCCTAGTGGTTAAGTTCACGTGCTCTGGTTCGGCAGCCCAGGGTTTTGCTGGTTCGAATCCTAGGCTCAGACATGGTACCGCTCATCAGGCCATACTGAGGCGGTGTCCTACATGCCACAGCTGGAAGGACCTACAACTAAAAATACACAACTATGTACTGGGGGGCTCTGGGGAGAAAAAGGAAAAATAAAATCTTTTAAAAAAAAGCAGATCAATCCAATGATGTGCCAAACAAATGTGACTGTCATTTAGTTGTAGTACAACAATCATTTGTGAGTTTTACCTAAAAATGAACAAACACAGGGGCCAGCCAGGTGGCGCAGCAGTTAAATTCGCATGTTCTGCTTCAGTGGCCCAGGGTTCACCGGTTCAGATCCTGGCTGCAGACATGGCACCTCTTGGCAAGCCATGCTGTGGTAGGCGTCCCACATATAAAGTAGAGGAAGATGGGCACGGATGTTAGCTCAGGGCTAATCTTCCTCAAAAAAAAAAAAAAAAAGCTAGAAAAAAAAGAAATGAATACAAATACAAATTATGGTGGGACATTACAGACCCAAGCATGCACTGAAATCAGACAGACCTTGTCAGCTTAACTAACTTGCCAATGTGATGTCAGGCAAGTTATTTTAAATTCTTTGAGCGTCAGTATCCTTATCAATAATGATGCTCATGATTTTTTTCAGATTGTTGCAAGGATTAAACGTCAAGTTTGTATATACTGGCAAAATGAATACTCAAAAAATTTCAGTTTCCTCCTCTTCCCTTTTCCTTAAAACTTACAAAAAACTATTTAAAATTTGATACTCCACAAACATACAAAATATTATCTAAAAATGTAATAGTCTTGGATACATATTTTATCGTGCTTTCCATTATGTATAGTTGTATCATAATATCATAACTCTTAAGAGTTCTTGAGTTCTCTTCCCTCATCCCTCCCCTTCCTTTTTAGAATACCTATTATCATCCCACGACACAGACTTGAAATTGGTAAACATACAAATTCCAAATGGGTTATTTAATTCTTATTAGCTCCAGAGATTATCCATGTGTCCTCATTTTCTACTCTAACCACAGCAAATACTAATTTCTTTTTCTTTTATTAATTACCTCATTGTCTGCTTAAATAAGTTATTTCTTGATGAATTTCCATTTGTTCCTAGCTCCTAGGAGTTAAAAGTAAAAGCTAAGCATTACTCTTTTTATAAAGCAAGACATCTGGACATTTTCCCAAAGATGATGTGAATTAAACGAAAGAAAAATTTAAATGTTAAAATAAGTCCTCCATAGGCTTGTGCTATGAATCTCAATTTTAAAATATCCATTGCTAATAGAGAAGCTTACAAGAGACGAGAACAAAGATCCAAAGTTTAAAATTCACACACCAGCTCTTCAAAATTTAGATTTCACATTTTACAGTCAGAAATTCTTACAATAAATCTATCTTCATTTAAATGAAGTGCAAACAAATGAACCAACCCAGGCTTCATGGAATACCCTCATTGCTGAGTCCTTCCTATAGCGAAAAAAAAAAAAAATCAGAAGAACGCTCCTACACTCTCAGTAGACAATTTCACGGTATAAAAGGATACTTGTAACAGGGTAGGAATTGACAAAGATGAGTGAATACAACAGGTAGTGGCAGCTGTCCTCTAACAAAGCCTGGGCCAGGAATGCTCTGCTCAACTGGAAGTGCGGTAATCTTTGGTGCAGCCTCAGAGCACTGGTAAGAGCATTTGCCAGCAAAGCACGTTGGTAAAAGCTTGCTGCTTCATGCAACCTGCAAATTACCAGAGGAGAGGTTATCATGAGACATAAACAACTACCATGTCTCTTCCTCCTTTGTGAATTGCATCATAATTGCACAACACCTAAATCTATTACTCGTCAATAGAAAAAAATTACTTGAATCTAGGTAACTTCTTAGAAGCCTCACTTCATATATATTCCCAACTGAATTTTATAAAGCAGTCATTCTTCCTGTTAGGTTAAAAAGTCATAAATGCAAAAGTTTTACATGAACTCATCTCATCCCCACATACCCATTTTCTCTCAGATTTTCAATGTGATACCAGTTTTCACAAAGCATAAGATATAAAATATTCCTCCAGTTGGTAATATTACTAGGTTACTGGTGCCATAAGGACGAGACTCGTGTTTTATTGCCCCTGAATCCTTTACAGTTTAACAAGTCTTGCACCCAGAAGGTATTCCATAAAAACTGACTGAACAAGTGAATATCAAAGGCAGAAATACGTATAATACATACCCAAGAAGAGGCAGAACAAACAAAGCAGAGCAGTAAACTGTGAACAAGCGAGAAAACCACATTGCTGTGTCCAGTTTATTGGTCATCATGAATTGCTGAATTTAAAAAGAAAAATATTGTAGTAAACCAAACCTGCAAATTATGTTTTTAAGGATGAAGATTATGTAGTTTTAGTCCTATTCAAAATGTTTTAACAACTCTGTAGCAACTGTTTTTTTTTTTAAATCATTAAGCGAAAACTCTCAAGGCGATTGTTTCATGTATATGCTCAGTAACAAGACCAAAACAGAAAGTACTTAAATAGGATACTAGTTGACACTTTAAAAAGTAAAAAGACTAATTAAGAAAGAAAAATTTGGATAGAAATTTAACTACAATTGTCTATATTCCTTCAACACGTGTAATACTAGCTTCATCTATTTTAAAAGAACATTAAATAAGAACTAATTGCTCTCAAGAGAACCATAAAGCCTATTCTTAGAAAAATCTCATATTCAAAGAGGTAGATCTCAGATCTGAGTAAAAAGGCATCACAAAAAGCCAATTTGGATTAAATAAACCTTACAAAGGAAAAATGTAAAATCATGGTAATAATAGGCACTCATTATTGAACTTGTCAGTCTATGGACGACTTGCTTATGCACACACAAGGGCCTGGCATACTGTAGATGCTCAAAATATGGCTATCATGTGTTAAATGGCACCTGCCTCTCTGATTTTATGACTTTCTTCACCTCCTCGAAGCTCTCCCAGACATCTTACCCTGGTTTCAGTGGCTCTAGACTAAACTTCCATATACCACTTTCTTCTCCATTTTTTTTCATTCTGTGTTTTCCTTTCCTGCATTTTACCAATAGATGTGTCCATTACCACTAACACAATAACTTAAAATCTGTTTTCTCATTCAAAATGTATCTTGTATTCAAATTCTAAGTGGCTTTTACATTTTTGATAGAATCTATATGAATAATTTTTACATCAAAACCCAATACAAACATAAGTGGGTACATAAAGTAAACAAAAGTTTCACAAAACAATACTTATCTTCAATATGCGTGATGGATTTTGGCATTTCGTACTCTAATGTTTTAGAAATACTTAACATTTCCACTAAATTAATTTCAAAATTCATTAACAGGTCTTTTAACCTACAGTCTAAAACACTACTCTAAGCAATCTAATAATTATCTTTTGAAAGGCAGAAAAAACTTTTGGGAAAAAAAATGCAAGTATATTTTAAAATTCAAGGATGTTTTATTGCATGTGCTTTTAAGAATATGCAGGTGATTTTAGAAATATGTCTCTGGTTTACTCTACCCAAACCTACTATACTGTAACTCCTCTAAATTTCAATGATCACCAGGAAAGGGGAAGGGTGAATCTAGCTTACTGTGCTCAGTTTCTCTACAAATATTCAGTCTCTAAACCATAGTCTGAAATTCAACTTTAGAACATTTTCTTTAAAACCTATTCGTTTAGGGTGTTCATTTTGTGATACATCATTGAGCTATGCATTTCATTTTGTATACTTTTGAGGATGTGTATTTTATTATACAATAAAAAAGGCTTAAAAAGTGTATTGGTTTATATTTTAAGAGTGATTATAAATTGTGTTATAAATAGTTCAGGCAAAAAATACCAATGAATCTTTCGGGGAAAACTACTGAAGTGAAAAACTATTCACAGTCTCCAAGTATCTTACTACAGAACACTTTTTAATTACAAAGGAAAAAAGGTATCTTTACAATGGAGAATCTGGTGGACATCACCTTAACCAAATAATCAAACTTAATATCTCCAATGATGGTATAAATCAACATAAAATGTTCCTGATATTATACAATGCACTGAGAAGGACAGAATATCACTTATGTAATATTCCTACCAAAATGTTTAGCCTGAATGTGGTTAACGGAGAAAAGAAACAAATCAGACAACTCCAATTTGAGGAGCATTCTGCAAAACAACAGGTCTGGACTCTAGAAAGACAAAAATGGGAGGAGGAGGGCAAGAAAACTTCTAGACTAAGAGACTAAAGGCCAGAAAATGTAGTGCATGCTTTTCAATTAATTCTGGATAAGGAGGAAGCAGCTTTTAAGGGCAACTGGAGAAAGCTGAATATGGATTGTCTATTAGGTAATAACGCATATCAATGTTAAATTTCCCAAATTTAACTGCAAAAATTCCTGCGATGACCGCACCGTGATCATGTAGAAGAATAATGAATGAAGTATTTATGGGTTAAAGATCACGATGTATGCAACTACCTCTCGAATGCTTCAACAAAATAAAGAAAAAAGAAACAATGTGTATATAAATACAGATGTTGTAAAATGTTTAAAAAGAAAAAAGTGACTTACTCAATTCACGTACTCATAGTGTTTAAAATTAAAGGCAATAACGCTTCAGGCACAAATAACCAGTAAGCAGAAGATCCGCATCTCAAGAACAAAAAATTTACAAAACCGTAACAATATTTCTCTTTGTAAAGAGGGACAAAAATGAATAAAGGAAAAAAGAAGATCGCTCTCCTCGTTCTGCGTAATTCCTACATAATAGCAGAAAATGGGCAGAAACGTCTTCTACCAGCACGTGTGAGCGGAATGAGGCGTGTGTCACAGCACAACCTCAGGTGGCATCTTCAATCTTGAAACCTACGACAATCAGAGACCGAGGCAAGGCGGAAAAAGCAAGGTGGAAAAAGGCAAGGCGGCCCAATTTCCATAGTATACAGGTTAGGGCCACCTGCTCCAGACCTGCCTGTTGTCGGTTCCGAAACAGAAACTTGTAGTTCCCTCTAGATCTTCGCTCACAATCTCCCCTCTCCAACCCACTCCCAACCCCGACCCGAAGCACTAATCCCAGTCCCAAAAGCCTCTTCTGGAACGCCTCGGACCCGGCTCCCAACACTTCCTCCTCCTTTCTAACTCTAGCAAAGCAAGCCAGAGACGACCCTGACTGCTCACTTACCACCGCGCCCGCCCCTTGCGGGCCGTTCGGGGCCGTATCCGCCATAGGGGACTCACACACGCGTCTGGGACGCTGCAATTGGGAAAGAGAAAGAAAGAAGGGATGTCAGCACCGGGGCCACGACTCCAGTAACCGGCCTCCCTGCCCCGTGCCACAAGCCCACCGCGCCCTGCGGCAACTCCGAGCCTCCACAGGGGGCAAAGGTCTCGCCCGCTTCAGTGCAGCGCACTGCCCCGAGGACACCTGCTGTGACCAAGAAATACCTGTCCAGCACGGTCAATAGCAAAGCTGGGTTTCTAGAAAAAGCGGAGCGTAGGCGGAGCTTCGGGACAAGGCCCAACAGTGCGATCGAAGGCCGCCGGCCCCCGGTTATTGCCGAACCTGGAAGTGCTCCTTTCACTTCCGTGGGGAAGAGGCGGTGACAAAGAGCAGAAACCGGACGCTCTTCCCTGAGGCATGATGGGAAGTGTAGTTTGTCTTGTTTGGCTTCACCTGTATTATACGCCAATCGGCTCTGTAAGCTAAGAGGCGAGGCTGGCGAAGCAAATTTTCTGATCTCCGGCGCACAGGTGGTCTTCCCAGTCCGTGTCCAAACCGCGAAATCTCTCTACTACCTAGTATAGAAGCGTCAGAAATGTCTTCTTTTCTGTTTTCTTCTAGGGGCTGAGGAAGCCCTGTGTTTCTACGCCTAAAATTAATTATTTCAACAAGCACGTAATGAGGCCTGTTATGTAATAGGTCCCCTGCTTGGCAGAGAGGATAAAAAGATGACTATGACACAGATTGCAGGAGAGAGACACAAGCAAACAGAAATCACAGCACAGTGCTTGTGTAATATGGACAGAGGCCGTGTTAATCACAGGGAGCTCATAGGGGACCTGAATCAGAACGGGTCTGGGAAGGTTTTCTGGAAAAGGTAATGCTGGCCCTCAGTTTTCAAGGACAAGGATAACTTGGCTAAATGGGGAAGGGGATTCTAGATAACAGAAAATGGATGAATCAACAGAACACAGTCAGGGGATTGGTTCAGTATGACTAGAATGAAGGTGACGGGAGGTTGTGAAAGATTGGGGCTAGAGAAGCAGGCAAGTGTGCTAAGGAGAGGATCTGAACTTGACCCTGAAATCCAGGGAACCATTGTACCATTTTAAACAAATGTGATGTCGTGATATTTAGAAAGATCTCTCTGGCAACAGGATAGAGGATGATCAGAGGGGCAAACTAAAAGCTAGGAGATTAATTGGCAGCCCGTTACATACATATAGAAGTGATGAGATTCTGAAGGGAGGCAATGTGGGGGAAGAGAAGAGGAAAGATAACTTGGTGAGGCCATCCAGGATTTGGTGACTGACTAGGTATAGGTGTGCTAGAGAGGGGAGGTCATCAGCCGAGACCTAGAGAAGAGCTGTAGAGAAAGAAGAGTTAGAAGAGTAGTGGATTGAGAATAAGATCTGAGGGAGTTGAGGAGAGGAAGCCAACAAGAGGTATACAGGACAGCTGAAACTATGAACCTGTAATAATCTAACTTTCTTAGATGTGTAGATTTCTTCCAACATCCATGGACAGTCCAGGTGCTAGTCAGCTGTAGCTGACAAGTCAAATGGTGCTCTCTTGAAGCCATGTAAGCTGTTTTTCTAAGGTCACTGCCCAAGATCAGGGCCTCAGGATCTCCAGCCTGGATTACTTATCGCCCTAGCTGAGGTAAAATGCCTCATCCTCTGCGCTCCTCACATATCGTTTACCCCGTATTTTTATAGCACTTATCACTCCTTATCATTATTTGTGCACCTACCAGGAGTGCATGTGTATATATGTGTGTGTGTGTGTGTGTCTAAGCTTTGGCTGCCATAACAAAATACCTTAGGCTGAGTGGCTTACACAGGAGAAATTTATTTTTCACAGTTCTAGAGGCTGGGAAGTCCAAGATAAAGGTGCTGGCAGGTAGGTTTCATTCTGAGGCCTCTTCTCTTGATTGGTATGTGGTTGCCATTTCCCCAGTGGGTGCATATGTGGGAAGAGGGAAGGGAAAGAGAGCTCTCTGTTCCTTTTTTAATAGGGCCGCCCAGTCCTACCAGGCTCCATGCTTTGTTACCTCCTAAAGACCCTATCTCCAAATATAGTCACATCAGGGGTCAGCGCTTCACTATATGAATTTTGGAGGGACACAATTCAGTCCATAGCACTATGTATATATATATATTTTACTGATTTAAAGGATCTTCTTATTAAGAAAATATTAAAATATAGAATATTCTCTATTGTAAGTTCCATATAGACAATTGATTCTCACAGAATACTCTTGTTGATTTTTGCTAAGCTTTTGTATCCATAGTAAGATATGTTTGCAATTGATGAGCCAGTGTAATTCCATGAATGTTGCTTGATATTTTTGATAAAGAATAAGGTGAAAGTGAAATAGCTAAGGCACATATTGAAATTTCACTGTTTCAACAATGATGTAATCAACTTCTTTGCTGAATTGAATAATAGTTTTTGAATACTGAAAGAATACTCAATTTTTTAATGCTATTCACAATGTAACAGCTACAGATATAACACACTTTTTTTTTTTATTAATGTTATGATAGATTACAACCTTGTGAGATTTCAGTTGTACATTTTTGTTAGTCATGTTGTGGGTACACCACTTCCCCCTCTGTGCCCTCCCCCCACCCCCCCTTTTCCCTGGTAACCACCCATCAGATCTCCTTATCAATATACTAATTTCCACCTATGAGTGGAGTCATATAGAGTTCGTCTTTCTCTGACTGGCTTATTTCGCTTAACATAATACCCTCCAGGTCCATCCACGTTGTTGTGAATGGGCCAATTTCGTCTTTTTTTATGGCTGAGTAGTATTCCATTGTGTATATATACCACATCTTCTTTATCCAATCATCAGTTTCTGGGCATGTAGGCTGGTTCCACGTCTTGGCTATTGTAAATAATGCTGCGATGAACATAGGGGTGCAACGGACTCTTGAGATTTCTGATATCAGGTTCTTAGGATAGATACCCAGTAATGGGATGGCTGGGTCATAGGGTATTTCTATTTTTAACTTTTTGAGAAATCTCCATACTGTTTTCCATAGTGGCTGTACCAGTTTGCATTCCCACCAACAGTGTATGAGGGTTCCTCTTTCTCCACAACCTCTCCAACATTTGTCACTCTTGGTTTTGGATGTTTTTGCCAATCTAACGGGGGTAAGGTGATATCTTAGTGTAGTTTTGATTTGCATTTCCCTGATGATTAGCGATGATGAACATCTTTTCATGTGTCTATTGGCCATATTCATATCTTCTTTTGAGAAATGTCTGTTCATGTCCTCTGCCCATTTTTTGATCGGGTTGTTTGTTTTTTTGTTGTTAAGCAGTGTGAGTTCTTTGTATATTATGGAGATTAACCCTTTGTCGGATAAGTGGCTTGTAAATATTTTTTCCCAATTAGTGAGCTGTTTTTTTGTTTCAATCCTGTTTTCCCTTGCCTTGAAGAAGCTCTTTAGTCTGATGAAGTCCCATTTGTTTATTCTTTCTATTGTTTCCCTCAACTGAGGAGTTACAGTGTCCGAAAAGATTCTTTTGAAACTGATGTCAAAGAGTGTACTGCCTAGCACCATTTGTTGAAGAGACTTTCTTTTCTCCATTGTAGGCCCTCTGCTCCTTTGTCAAAGATTAGCTGTCCATAGATGTGTGGTTTTATCTCTGGGCTTTCAATTCTGTTCCATTGATCTGTGGACCTGTTTTTGTACCAGTACCATGCTGTTTTGATCACTGTAGCTTTGTAGTATGTTTTGAAATCGGGGATTGTGATTCCGCCGGCTTTGTTTTTCTTGCTCAGGATTGCTTTAGCAATTCGCGGTCTTTTGTTGCCCCATATGAATTTTAGGATTGTTTGTTCAATTTCTGTGAAGAATGTTCTTGGGATTCTGATTGGGATAGCATTGAATCTGTATATTGCTTTAGGTAGTATGGACATTTTAACTATGTTTATTCTTCCAATCCATGTGCAAGGAATGTCTTTCCATCTCTTTATGTCATCGTCAATTTCTTTCAAGAAAGTCTTGTAGTTTTCATTGTATAGATCCTTCACTTCCTTGGTTAAGTTTATCCCAAGGTATTTTATTCTTTTCGTTGCGATTGTGAATGGGATTGAGTTCTTGAGTTCTTTTTCTGTTAGTTCATTGTATAACACACTTTTAAGTTTAATCTGTATTACTAAGATTCTTTACATCATTTTTAAGTCTAGACAATCGGCAAGACAATAAATCAAGCCCTGATTTGTGGTGCTTGCGGATATTTCCATGATGTAAATGCTCCCAGCATGACCTGTTTTAAACCGCCAACACAATGTCACTGAACATGGAATTGAGAGGAGATGTACATTATATAATATTTTCATCATGCGAATGCAATAGACATAAATAACCTCAAGAGCATAGATAATGGTAAGATGGAAAAATAATTAGGAAGTAATGAGTTTTGAATATTTATTATCTGTTTTTAATATAACTTATTGTAAATTTATACAATTTAATTTTTAATAATGGCTGTGCATAACAACCAGCTCACAAAATTCTTCAAATTTGAACAATCAGCTCTTGCAAGCCAATATGAGCTGGCTCCAGCACACCACTATATCCTTTGTTCCTGATATTCTCTCAGCCCTTCCCCCCACTTCCTTTAGGAAATGGAATTTCCTTGAACTTTCATGCCCATTCAGCTCCACTGCCCAGTGGCACTATCACCAATCTTTCCTTTTCCCATCAGAAAAATCCCCCATTTAAACCCCTGAATATATTGCTATTCTACTAGGGAACTTATTTAATCCTCTTTTGTATTATAATGAAGATCTTATATTCTTATCAAAGGTCTTAAGTTTCAGAAAGGAAACATGATAAACTATTAACAATGGAGAGCAGAAGAAGGTGGATGGCTTTTGGTTAATAGTCTTATATACTATATTTATAATTAAACATTTTTTAACTATTCAATTAAAAAAGAAATACATTAAAAGCTGGTCAGAAAATAATACTAATAGTAGAAAGACTCATCAGTGGATGGTAAAACCACTGAGTGAATCGCTGATGCGGGCATAATATTGACACAGCTCCAAAGTATCACTCCAGAGTGTTTTATTTGTTAATAATTACAAAAGAAATTGTGAATTTTTTCCATGGAGCAACATGGCAGTTAAAACCTTAACCAAGGGGCTGGCCCCGTGGCCGAGTGGTTAAGTTTGCGCGCTCTGCTGCAGGCAGCCCAGTGTTTCGTTGGTTCGAATCCTGGGCACGGACATGGCACTGCTCATCAAACCATGCTGAGGCAGCGTCCCACATGCCACAACTAGAAGGACCCACAACTAAGAACATACAACTATGTACTTGGGGGCTTTGGAGAGAAAAAAGGAAAAAAAATCTTTAAAA